CCAATGAAAGACCTCTCCGAGTCTAACAATCGCGTACATTATGATCGAAAAATACCGTAAAAAAGTACGTAAAAAATGGCCGAGGTGGCTCTCCTCCTACGCTTGCGGTCTGAAGTCAAATCTCAGATCAGCATCCGGCCACGGGACTGCCTGGCCCCAGCTTATCATATAGGCCATACCACATTCCATAAGTCACTACGAGCGCAGATCGGCGACGGGGGGCAGGGCATTTCGCATTCCGACCCATCTAGAGAGCTCTTTCATGAGCGAAGACAAGAGTTGACGGGTTTTACCATGGTGGCTAGACGAGCTTGCTCCAGCTTCTCACAGGTTTCACCACAGCGGAACTGGGGAACCGGAACTAGCAAAGCAGTAAAAGTACAAAATGGCCCCCGTCGCCGAACAGCGCCGTCACTATGATTCCTAATGTAAGACGAATGCGTGCAGCATCTAACAAAGTGATTGATCAACGGTAAAAGCTCCATCCTTGGTTATCCTTTGACCGTCGCGAGCACTGAGCGACATCGTCCCACGAGACAGATTGGACGCACCGTCAGCCGCTGGGTTTGCCTCTGTATCGTGAATTCAGGAGAACTGAATACGAACTTTTTCGAAAAACACGAGTTTTTAGGTCTAAGGCGTCTTTCACCATGTCGTCCGTCAGCTATCGATATTGAGACGTTGGAAGAAATAGAAGACAGGATCGCCCTTGGGCAAATACCCCCGTTATCGAATACTGTGCATTTCAGGTCGAGGTATGTGAATCCAGCGAATTCGTGAAAGGAATCACTGTCTCTGGAATCTTGGAGGTGTTTTGAGTCGATATGCTTGTCCGTTTTTTCTAGACTTTCTCTGATTCCTGAACATGTTCCCTCAACAGTGGAAGAGGGCGAAGAGCCAAGCGAGTCTAGCCACGCTCTTTCTATGGAGGAGAACACCGACAGTCCAATAACAACGAGGTATTTATGGTTTGTTTCGGAGAAAAGAAAAACAGATGGTCGAGTGAAAACTTTCAGGCGGAGTCGCCTACAGAATGTCTTCAGCAGTTTGCTCAACAGGCGCAGGTCCTCAAAGGATACACTAAGTCCATCTTCAGAACGGCCGCCATCGTCTTGAATACCCGGCAGTTCCCGGTTGCAATACCTGCACATCAACAAGTTTCACTGAATTCGTTTTAATCTCAGAACTGTTTTGAAGGGTGATGGGTAGCATAAGGCTCATTTTCCTTATCTATGTTAAGAGCTTCATACAATGAGATGGGCTAATGCCTAGCTATAGCAACCCTGCTGGTATACAATCGTTTTCGGGGCAGAACGGCGTGTTGGAAGGCTGATTTGGCACGGGATCAGCCCGTTCCCCACTCGCATGTCCGCACAGCCCCCCCCCCACATCCTTTAGCACCTGCTACGAAAACGACTATATGGGGGTTGTCACATAAGGCAAGGATCGCTGTTCGCTGAGGGCCTCCAATTCTTCGCAAGGGTTTGGGTCATCGACCTAAAGGAAGCAGTTCATAAGTATGCAGCTATAGAATTGATTGCTTAGTCGTAACTTGATAATTTGTCGTGATCAAATCGAATATCTCAGTTACTGCAATTACAAGCTCATATTGACTGTTAAGAGCTTCTGTTAGGTATTCTCACTTTGGACAATGTGTTTCCGTGTATTTCGCAATGAATCCAGTTCATAACAAACACGTGAACATGTGCCATGAGAGCCCAGACTGCATCTTCCGTGCTGCGAAAGTCAATCACTTATTCTTCCGCATTGCGGTGCGTGCATGCTGAAATCAGACGAGAATCAGATAAAAAATCGGCTTACAAGGGAAGCAGGATGCAGGGAGTGGATCTGAAATTCAAGCTGTTGGTTCTAAGTAACCCTTCATTGCCGAAAAGGTGACAAATAAAACTCTAAAAATGCCCCGCTTTTTTAATTCTGGGGGTTGTATGAACTTTCAATGGAGAAACACAGATAGAGCCCAGACGGGAGATAAAAGAGCGGAGATACACTAACGAACCCACAAATCATGTTCACTCCATAGCAGAGAGGGTCCTGGTCTGATAATGGGTGAATAGAGTTCCTAGGGGTGCTGCTAGGAACTTTCTGGGTTCTAAGTCAGCGAAGCCTTTGTGCTGAGAGGTCAGTCTAGCCTTTTCTCGGGTGTGAAGGCTGTCGTTGCACTTATAGTTAGCTCATCGCTCTTGAATCAATGGACGGCGTGAGTTATGACATATAAATTCATTTGCGACCAGGCACTGAACAGCGAAACGACATTGGAGACGCACCGGCCCCTCTACACTCCCGATCCCGTAAATACGTGGGGAAGACGTACATAGCCGCGTATTCTATTTCAACATGGTTCACGATGCGCTTTTCAAGAGATATTTTCATCCGAGACATTTTGTATCCTAGCCTGTGTTGCACTTGTTGGAAGCTCACGAAACAACGACGAAGCATCATGGCGTGGAAAGTTCCAAAGAATAATAGCAAGAGTACTGAGTTATGGGTTGGCATCAAGCGCTTTGCCATAGTGGTAATTTTCCCTTCGCTAACTACGGTTATAATCGCAATCATCGTAGAAAAAGTGAATTCCTGGTGTTGCATAAGGTGCGGGTATTAATAGTGTCTGAGGTCAAGTTTTTCCGCACATAATTTAGATTTTTTCCAAGTATTAAGTTCTCAATCACGCCGCTCCCCTCTGAGATCTCCAGTCTCTGAATTTGAGTCTATTCCTGCCTCTGAGGGTCAGTAATTCATCATCGCTTCTCTGCCACAGAGACGCGCATGTGTGCATGTGACCTCTGATCAAAGGAGCAGTCCAAGGAGCCGCAGCAATAAGTGGCATAAGCCTGC